GTCTGGCCCGCGGTGTGTGACCTGGGCCAGGCAGAGGGTCGCCCGGCGTAACATACGGTGTCTGAGGGTACATCAATTCGAATCAACATCAAATCAACGTCTTGAACATAAAAAATAATAGATAAACACAATTTAATAGTTTTGCCCATTTCTCACACATCATTATGGTCCTTAATCTAATATCCTCCTAATCTTAATTTTTTTCAAAATACATATAATATATACATTCTAAATTGGAATTACTGTATATAAGTATAATTTCAATACAATTCGATTGAAATATTTCAGTAACTATGATTAAAAATTTAACCATCATTTCAGGCTGACAGCGGAGGACCATTGATGATACCACAGTAATTCACCTACTATCAAATAGGTGTTGTCTCATCTGGTCATGAATGCGGCGTTTACACGAGAGTCACGTCGTACCTCGACGACTTCATTATCCCAGTGTTGCAAAATTATTAGTGTCCCATAAATATCATTTTTCGTGCACGAAAAATAAAGTTGGAATGTATCATTGTGGAGATAAGAGGCAGCTCAAATTTATATTGTCTTTTACGTCAAGAATTATAGTCTCAAAATGCATGAAATGTAACTTTGAAACGACACTAACTTTTTATGTACGCTATATTTGCACGACTTAGATACATAGAGATGATAAACGAGCATTTATTAAATTTTTACAAATTATATCTAAACTAATAATAAACCAACTTTTTGAGAAGTTCTGTAAATTTTGTTTCTCATGTATCAAGAGAATAATTAAATATTTCACTTAGATCGTATACTTCTTGTATGTACATACAAAATTTTGGACTACTCTGGAACATTTCATAAGATAGAGAGCTTCTAGAGGTTGGGACACAGAAAGTTCATAAAATACAAGATAAATCTCGAGTCTTCCAAAACTATTTTTTATTCGCTAAAAATGTCCTGTGTGCTCATGCAATCACGTGCAACATCGGAACTTTACTTATTTTTTTTATCACGTTCCAATTCAATACAATGTTTCTGCATTTTTAACTATATGTGTAATATCAAAAAAAAGTGGGGGGGGGGGGGTATGCGCTTGGTCTACCATATATTTAAGTTTGAATTTTCTCGGGATAGCATAAGTTGTAAATTTAAGACATAAACTAAGAATGGTAAGAGTGCTGGGGAAGAGAGAAAGAGAGAGAGAGAGAGTGTGTGTGTGTAAGTAAGAGGGTATGCCTTGGTGACGTCAAAACCAAATGAGTAATGGATGGGAGAGAAGGGTGCGAGTGTGAAGGCTCAGCATTTCTTGACCTGCGAAGACAGACGTTGTGAGCCGAGTGTTAGACGTACGAAGATATTGTAGTCAGTTTTTGCATTGGGTATTGCTTGTTAAAATAAAACTAAACTTCACTTCAAATAGAACATCTTTTCTTGTTCTTACTCTAAACTATTTAGATACTACATATGTAAGAGAAATATCCATTCAGTCAAAGGCATACTTACACATTACGAGACATAAACTCCCAAACTATTGTGACGAATAAAAAATGTCAGCAACTCAACTGATAAACGCTGCTCCATACTCAGCACAACAGCGCAAGAAGTTACAAACTTAATTATGGCAACAGAGATAAGTAAAGCACCAGGATTTGACTTGATCAATGGAAAAATCTTAAAAAACCTTTCCCCAAAGGCAATAAGACTAACAACGATAATATTAACGCAATTCTAAGAATACAGTACTTTTCTGCACTATGGAAAATAGCACAGATTGTAATGTTACCCAAACCAAACAAAAACCCACATCTAACTGCATCCTACAGGCCAATATCATTACTGCCTGCATTTTCCAAATTACTAGAAGAAATAAAATATAACGGCCTAAAACCAAGAATAGTATAGAAAAACTAATACCGGACCATCAATTTGGATTCAGGAATAAACACTCCACAATAGAAAAAATGCACAGACTCGTCAATGAAATCTTACAGGCGCTGGAAACAAAACAATATTGCACGGCACTCTTTATGGACATCAAAAAAGCATTTGACAAAGTTAACCATGAAAAACTTCTTCAAACATTCAAAAAGCAATTTCCAGAACAAATCTACAAACTACTCAAATCTTACTTAAACAATAGAACCTTTGTAGTAAAAATAAATGGTGCATATTCTGAAATTAAGGATATCAAGGCAGGAGTACCGCAACGAATCGTCCTAGGATCAATACTATACACACTATATACGGCAGACGTACCAACAACTGTCAACAGCAAAATACTAACGTTCGCGGACGATACGGCCATACTGGTGAGGCACGCAAATCCAGAAACGGCAGCCGCACTACTACAAGAAAACATTACAAAAATAGAAAAGTGGCTGCAAAGCAAACAAATAAAAGCGAACATCAGTTCAAAATCAACATCAAGTGCAATCACATAACATTTACACTTAGAAAAGGAAAAACACCAGATATCCAACTGAACGGCGCCCGCATAGCACAAACAAAGCAAGTCAAATATCTAGGAATACATTTAGACACACACCTTACACGGAAGCATCACATAAAATCAATAATAAACAGAATACGTGAAAAAAGGAAGTAGATGTACTGGTTAACCAATAGAAAATCTAAATTAAGCACAATGGATAAACTAAATCTATACAAAACAATAATCAAACCAATCTGGACATACGGAGTCCTACAATGAGAGACGGCAGCAATGAATCACATAAATAAAACAGAAACAAAGCAAGCAAAAATTTTAAGGACAATAGTTAACGCTCCATGGTACGTCAGAAATGAAAACATACGAAAAGATTTAAAGATTCCAACAGTCAAAGAGGAAATCGCCAGATATGCACAAAAGTATAAAGAAAGACTTGTAACACACAAAAACCAGCTGGTTGTTGAAACGAATAAAACCAAAATAGAAAGAAGACTGAAGAAGAAGCATCCCGCAGACCTCACAATAGAAATAAAATAAACAGCTTGGAAAATGGAATCCCGCTGGGGGTAACCATCCACATGTTATATTATTATACCACTAAGCTATAATATTTTACCAAATGTCCTACTGAACAAATTGTAAAATTTAAATAAGTAAATAAATAAAAAAACATTCGTTCAGATATATATATCGGAGCTGAAAAGACACCGAAGCCTTCCCTTTGGAATTTTGGGAAAACCCCTTAACATTTTAACCTAGATTCTACCATAGCCGTAATTAAGCGATTGTCGTCATTCAATCCGATTGTATTTGTTCGAGATTTGTGATATTGAGCTTAACATTTATTTAGTATTTCAGTTAGAATTTTAATTCAGGAAAAGAATGAATTTCTGTATGAAAATTAGAAAGACAGAATTTCAATTTAGTTCGAAAGCTTCAGTGTTAAGTACTTCTATGTTCCGTCCTTGGATTAATTTGACGTTGACCTAATAATTACATTAATGTTCGTAAATGCTTGAAAATGCTATATAACAGTATCAGCGTCTTTTAAAAACTTTTTATACTAAAATCTTTATAAAATTGTACTATTTTTTAGACAATTGGAATTCATTATATTATATATCATACATTGTAGTCATTTCTAATTAAGTTACTTTTTCGATGTTTAATTTTATTCTATGTATATTCTTATAACTCTCTATGTATGGCGCGTAAGATGGTCCGTGCGCCGTCTGAAACTTTATACTATATACTGATCTACTACATACTATATACTATAAACTGAATCTGTTGACGTAATCTTAGCTTGAAGGAATCTCTAACTCTGTAAGTATTTTCGGATTATGGATGGTCCTTAGAACAATCCTTAGGTTTATTGTGCACTCTTACAAGTTACGGAGAAAGCGGGTAGTTATTTTTCCAATAAATAATGTCACCCACGAACCACGTTGGTAGGAGGCTTCCTCCTCCTATCTTCATTCATTAACGTTGGCTATAACCAATGGGCACCCTCACTTTCCTAATGAAAAGTGTGAACAACGAATCCGTGTTCTTCAAAAAGCACACCCACACCGAGCTTACCTCCTGTGACGGAACTCGAAACCGCAAATATCACTACTCGACACCAACTAGTGTCGGACGACGGCAGCGCAGTGGTTAGTGCCTTGGAGTACAAACGTTCGGATCCCGGGTTTCAAATCCCGGCGCCTCGTACTTTTCCGAAGTCCGATTTTTCTTCTACGATATCTAAATAAGAAGAAAATACTGCAGTACCACGGCAAGCGGCATCTACAGCCAGCAGAGCTACAATTATCACGGATATATGAAAGAAGACGGAGAAAAAGGAAAAAAAAAGGTGTGTTTCGTCCAGAGCCCCTGGCTAGTGGACTCATCAGTAAAAGGCTTACCTAGCAGGCTCATGCCTTAGACACGATGGAAGGAGGGGGAAGAAGGCTTATGTACATGGCAGGACATTGAAAACGGATTTCTCCCTCCCTCACGCCAGCGGCGGGACACTGTATCGAAGGCCGGCTCGATTCTTCTACCCTCTCTTGCGACGTATCCCAGTGGAGCGGGATCCTACTCTTAACCTAATAAGGCCGGAAAGGTTCGCGTACACACCGTGTGTCAAAGATCCAATAAAAAATTTTTTCAAAATACATATAATATATACATTCTAAATTGGAATATTTCAATACATAAATCAATAATAGATTATTACTGTATATAAGTATAATTTCAATATAATTCGATTGAAATATTTCAGTAACTATGATTAAAAATTTAACCATCATTTCAGGCTGACAGCGGAGGACCATTGATGATACCACAGTAATTCACCTACTATCAAATAGGTGTTGTCTCATCTGGTCATGAATGCGGCGTTTACACGAGAGTCACGTCGTACCTTAATGACTTCATTACCCCAGTGTTACAAAATTATTAGTGTCCCATAAATATCATTTTTTGTGCGCGAAAAATAAAGTTGGAATGTATTATTGTGGAGATAAGAGGCAGCTCAAATTTATATTGTCTTTTACGTCAAGAATTATAGTCTTAAAATGCATGAAATGTAACTTTGAAACGACACTAACTTTTTACGTACGCTATACTTGCACGACTTAGATACGTAGAGATGATAAACGAGCATTTATTAAATTTTTACAAATTATATCTAAACTAATAATAAACCAACTTTTTGAGAAGTTCTGTAAATTTTGTTTCTCATGTATCAAGAGAATAATTAAATATTTCACTTAGATCGTATACTTCTTGTATGTACATACAAAATTTTGGACTACTCTGGAACATTTCATAAGATAGAGAGCTTCTAGAGGTTGGGACACAGAAAGTTCATAAAATACAAGATAAGTCTTGCATGTTCCAAAACTATTTTTTATTCGTTAAAAACTTACTGTCTATTCATGCAATCACGTGCATCCCCGGAACATTACTTATTCTTTTATTACTTCCGAATTAAATGCATTATTTCTGCATGTTTAGCTATATGTAATAGAAATTTCCATTCAGCCAAAGGTATACTTACACATTACAGATACTTACGGGACATAAATTCCCAATCTATCATGATGAATAAAAAAATGTATACTGTTAAATCAGTTCATTTTTTATTGTATGTAAGTACACATGTACGTGATGAACATTATCTTTGTATGCCTTGAAGGCTTCAACATAGGCCATGTTTACGATGTTCCATACATATTTTGTAAAACTACTTTGTACGTTTCTTTAAAGTGTTAATCAAAAGGCTGATTTGACAAAGAAGAAGTGGCGCAATGACACATCAAGGCCACAGCCTGGTGACATTTTGATTATGGAGAAATCATCCCTATATTTGCTGAGGTATATATCTTTGACTATGCTCTATTGAAAATATGTAATTACTAGAATATAAACAATTAATTTTTAATGAGACTGTACCTTGGGAAAAAAGAATGGATACCTTGATATCATGGTTTCTACATCCTATACATCCAATAAATTTTGAAATATTATACATTGAAGAGCCAGATTATCATGCTCATGTGATTGGAATAAAAGGACCTCAATGTGATCATGGAATAGCAAGTTGGACAGAATAAAAGATTTTACAAACTATGTTAACAGCTCTGATTATATATTTTTGGGTACCCCCCCAAGATTACACATTTTCTCCAATTCTGGTATGTTGCTTCATCGTATGAACCATTAAGTCTATTTGAATTATTAGTAACGAATTAAGGAAAGAAACAAGTAATTGTGTTAGGCAAGGAAGAAATAATTTATCAAGCACTGAATTGCTGCCTTCTTTTACTGCAACACAAAACAAAAATTCTGAATGATATTGATCATTATGGATGAACGATGTTAATAATTTATGTCTCTTTTCAGATTAAACAATTTTCCAGATTTATTCATAATTTCGAAGAATATGCTGGTATTCAAAGAATAAGGAAAAGAATGGACCAGTATAGGAAATCTCTTTTTCATTGTAGGTGACATATACTTCATTCATTGCATGGTTCAACGTATTTTTGAACACATGTAACTGGGAAAATTCTTGTGTGATTTAGAAAAAGGAGGAGAATTGACACCTTCGAATGACATTAGAAATATTTCAATATAAGCACCATTGTCGAAGAATTAGAAGATTTTCGTAAAAGTGAGCATAAAAAAGTTTAAAAACATCTCTCATCGTGACAGGCATCTCTCAATTAGCCGTCAAGTGTGTAAGTAAAAGGGTCGTAAGATTGATCGAATTTGGTTTTTGATAATTCTGTGACTATAGATCAATCATTTTTAAGATCAATTAAAGTTGCACTTGTCACACAAGTAAACAGTTTTTATCGTAGAAGTAACTTTTATGTGATGTGTTACGTGCAAAAGTGTTTATTTCTGTTACCATGTTATTGGTATTTTACAAATTTTAGTACTAGAACTATCAACAAGTAATGTACGACTGAATGTGCTATATAATACATAATTGTAAGAGAAGCGACAAAATGATGGTATAAATAAGTACTTAGAGGGAAGTCGGTGCAATTGTATCTTATTTTTCGAAGAATGGTGAGGTAAGTAGAAATAGAAACAATAAGATTTGAAGTTATGTAGCAAAGAGCATTCTGTTATAAATCTTCCTATGTGCGTATAGAAACGTGTTCTAATAATTACAAATATCCAGATTTTTCTCTAACTAGTTATCTGAATTAATAACTTTCCTATTTGTATTTTCCTTCTAAGTTGTCTGTAGTCATCTTATTAACTCAACAAAGATCAATGTTAATTTTTGCAAAAGGTAATATGACGCTTTTTAGGGAATTGCACAAATGAAAGTTTCGAAGCTCGTTGTTGCGACGAGTTTAATCGTTGTAGTGTTAAACTAAACAATTTTCAAAAATGAAATTACACTGAAACGTATGTCGATGATATCTGTCATTCCTATCATCTATTTCACATGATCGTGCTTCTTTTCTAATGCAAATTCAATTTATAATACGAAGTAGGTTTCCTTTATTGTTGTCAGTTCCGCGTCCTTCTAAATCGCCACAGTTTTTCGCTCTTTGTTTCAAAACATTGAATCATAGTGTGAACCAAGCTTCTTTTATTAGATTCATTCATCGTTATCAGTCCTGCGTCTTTTAATTCGTCACTTTTTCATTTCAGAAAAATGACGGATCGCAAAGTGTTGTTTGCATGTTTGGTGTTAATTACTCTCCTGCATCCATTAGTTCACATGGTGTCTGGCGAAGGTTTGCACTTTAAGTTGTCTTTTTCCATGCACTTCAGATTCTAATACGACCTCGTCACGGAACCTTCGAGCTATTTCGAAATTTTACGCGTTTGTTAATTATCAATGAAAAGAAAGAAGCTACGCAATACCACATAAAATACAAACGATTTTTATAATTTTTTATTTTCGAGATGGCGACGAAGTTAGTGGCAAAACTGAACTTGATTATTCACGTCTACTTCCTTGGTTTAGTTTCCAGAAAAAGATTCGTTAACTTTGCGAATATTCCAACGACTCGTTTTACGTACAAAATGAACGTGATAAACATTGCATCACGTCCATGAAAACTATTGGCGTAATGCTTAAGATAAAGATGCAAAGATATTCTCGGAATTTCCAATGACAACTTTATAGATTTTTAGTTTAATGTCAGTACTGCATTTGAATTACTTTTACCTAACTGTGTTATATACTGTCGCTGAGAATTTTCCTAATTCCATAAAATGATTCACTAAAAATTATCCTGAATTCCTATATTATATTTACCGCAGAACAGAGAAAGTGTTTATTTAAAAAATGAGGTTGAAGGTAGTCCTTATCTTTCAAGTATGGCTAACACAATATCTAATCAATTAAAACTTTATATTTTCACGTCAAAAGTTGTCTGTTGGGCAATCCGGTGGACTTGATCGGCTTTTTATTTCGAAAGTTGAGTAATCGGTGTCGCGTTCTTACGCATTTTCGAACTGTATAAATGTTTTATTTTAAAATTGTTTGATCCAGAATGTACAACACCGAACAATCAAACAGGCAACTGTCTCAACATTAAAACATGTAATCCTCTGCAAGAAATACTGCAGACACAGGGTCATACAGCTACCGATTTTTTGAGGCAATCACTATGCAGATATGAGGGTCATGCTCCGATCGTTTGTTGTCCAAACGATCCAAACAAGGAGAAGAGAGGGATTTTAATAGAAACTGTGTATAAGTACGTGCCCTTGCGTCCACCATATTGTGGTTTCAGCAACGGCGAGCATACCAGGGTGGTTGATGGTAAACCAGCTAAGCTTGGTACGTTTTATCTGTTCCTTTCCGATTAATAATAAGCGATTTACTACGAAGAATGAAGTTTAAAGGTACTTACGCGAGAGAAAATGATGTATGTTCGCAACTATAACTATTGCGTTTTAGGTGCTTGGCCGTGGATCGCTGCATTAGGTTTTCGTAATCCCCAAAACCCAGATACTGAACCAGAATGGAAGTGCGGAGGTTCCCTGATATCGGCTAGGCATGTTTTGACCGCAGCACATTGTGCAATACGCAGTGACTTGTACGTGGTTCGTATCGGAGACTTAAATCTAAAACGAGATGACGACGGAGCGCATCCTATTCAAATGCGATTCGAATCTAAACTAATACATCCTGATTATACTCCCAATATACACAATCATGATATTGCCATTCTTAGATTGGTGGAGGAGGTGCCATTTTCGAGTAAGTCCTCAAATATTGTTGAGTATATGCTACGAGTATTAATGGAGAATCGTTTCCTAAAATTTCTTACCATACACACATATTGTATCATAAAACATGTACTATTCTTTCTTATACTTTTCGTTATTCGTTTTTTTTACTTTCATTTGTTTTCTTATTTTTCAGAGTACATACATCCCATTTGTCTCCCCATAGAGGAGTCCCTACGAAATAACGACTTCGTGGGCTATAACCCCCTTGTTGCTGGATGGGGAGCATTAAGATATAGTAAGTGATACCAATTTTATAATAAAATTAAACAGTTCCAGTCTTAAATGTCTTTCTCATTTTCTTCGTAGGAGGACCACGAAGTGATGTATTAATGGAAGTACAAGTGCCAGTGGTTAGCAACGCCGAATGCAAGACAACTTATTCCAAATTTCCTAATGCACCTATCACTGATGGTATAATATGCGCCGGGTATGCTCAGGGTGGAAAGGATGCTTGTACGGTAATTAAGTTACAGATTAACTACAAATTATACGGTGTCTGAAGACGCATTAATTCGAATCAACATCAAATCGACGTCTTAAACTTTAAAAATAATGGATAAACAATTTAATAGTTTAGTTTAATATTTAATAGTTATTTAATAGTTTCTCACACATAATTATGGTATTTAATCTAATTTCCTTCTAATATTAGTTATAGTATAATTATTTCAATATAATTCGATTGATATATTTCAGTATCTTTGATTAAAAATTTAACGATCGTTTAAGGGTGATAGCGGCGGACCACTGATGATACGACAGCAATTAACCTTCTACCTAATAGGTGCTGTGTCTTATGGTCATGCGTGTGCTGTAGCCGGATATCCTGGTGTTTACACTAGGATCACGTCGTACCTCGACAACTTCATTCTCCCAGCCTTGCAATAATACGATTATTATTGTTCCATAAATATCATTTTTCGTGTACGAAAGGTAAAGTTGGCTTTTCTTATTGTGGAGATAAGAGGCAGCTCAAATTTATATTGTTTTTTACGTCAAGAATTATAGTCTTAAAATGCATGAAATGTAACTTTGAAACTACACTAATTTTTTACCTACGTTATACCTGCACCACTTAGATACGTAAAGATGATAAACGATCATTAACTAAATTTCCATTAATCATATTTATACTAATTTTGATAATAATAAACCAACTCTCTGAAAGTTTCTATAAATTTTCTTTCTGATCTATCAAGAGCCTGATTAAATATTCCACTTAGAACGTATACTTCTTGTATGTACATACAAAATTTTCCGGCTGATCTAAAACGCTTCATAAGATAGAGAGCTTCTGGAAGTTCGGACACAGAGAGTGCATAAAATACAAGATAAGTCTCGTGTCTTTCAAAACTATTTTTTATTCGCTAAAAATGTTCTGTGTGCTCATACAATCACGTTCAATATCGAAACTTTACTTATTTTTTTATCACTTTCCAATTCAACACAATGTTTCCACATTTTGACTATATGTGTAATATCAAAAAAAGGGGAGGGTATGCGCTTGGTCTATCATATATTTAAGTTTGAGTTTTCTGGGGATAGTATAAGTCGTAAATTTAACATATAAACTAAGAATCGTAAGAGTGCTGGGGAAGAGAGAGAGAGAGAGAGAGAGAGAGAGAGAGAGTGTGTGTGTGTGTTAAGGAAGAGGGTATGCCTTGGTGACGTCAAAGCCAAATGAGTAATGGAGTGAGAGAAGGGTGCGAATGTGGAGGCTCAGCATTTTTTGACCTGTGAAGACAGACGTTGTAAGCCGAGTGTTAGAATAAGACGTACGAAGATATTGTAGTCAGTTTTTGCACTGGGTATTGCTTGTTAAAATAAAACTAAACTTCACTTCAAATAGAATATCCTTTCTTGTCCTTGCTCTAGACTATTTACATACTACATATGTAAGAGAAATTTCCATTCAGCCAAAGGTATACTTACACATTATAGATACTTACGAGACATAAACTCGCAAACTATTGTGACGAATAAAAAATTTAATACTATTAAATCTGTTTGTATTTTGTTGCATGAGAATGCATATGTACATTACCTTTGTATCCCCTTGAAAGATTCAATATTGCGCATGTAAACTATATTTTATACAGATTTTATAAAACTACTTTGTATGTTTGTTTAGATTGTTAATCTAAAGGCTGGTATACAAGGAAGAAGCTTTTTTTTTTATTTAGTTGTTTACATTCACAATTTGTCCAATTTGGAAATTTGGTAGAAACAAGGAAGAAATGGCACAATGATGTAGTCTGGTGACGTTCATGAATATCAAGGAATCACTCTACATTCGCTCAGATATATACGTCGGAGCTAAAAGGTATAACAAAGGTGCCTAACAAAGGTATGGGGTAATAGCATAGCTCTCCTTCAAAAGAAATAGTTGTAGCGGCACTCTACAGTAAACATTCCAACGGTTTCTGTTGCATGACTCGTGTAACCTCAATTCACATCAGAAACCAGGCCACTGCAACATTAGAGGCCAGATGTGTGCGGGCCCTCACGCTCGACATTACAAATTAATTTAAATTTTATACATTTTATATTGTGATTGAAATTTTATTTGATTAAATTGTGATATTTTCATTGAAATCAAAATTTTTAACATTTATTTAGTATTTCAGTTAGAATTTTAATTCGGGAAAGGAATGAATTTCTGTATGAAAATTAGAAAGACAGAATTTCAATTTAGTTCGAAAGCTTCAGTGTTAAATACTTCTATGTTCCGTCCTTGGCTTAATTTGACTTTAACTAAGACCTAATAATTACATTAATGTTCGTAAATGCTTGAAAATGCTATATAACAGTATCAGCGTCTTTTAAAAACTTTTTATACTAAAATCTTTATAAAATTGTACTATTTTTTAGACAATTGGAATTCATTATATTATACATCATACATTGTAGTCATTTCTAATTAAGTTACTTTTGCGATGTTTAATTTTATTTTATGTATATTCTTATAACTCTCTATGTTACGGCGCGTACGATGGTCCGTGCGCTGTCTGAAACTTTATACTATATACTGATCTACTACATACTATATGCTATAAACTGAATCTGTTGACGTAATCTTAATAGCTTGAAGGAATCTCTAAGCCTGTAAGTGTTTTCGGTTTATGGATGGGCCTTAGAACAATGCTTAGGTTTATTGCGCACTCTTACAAATTACGGACAAAGCGGGTAGTTATTTTTCCAATAAACAATGTCACCCACGAGCCACGTTGGTAGGAGGCTTCCTCCTCCTATCTCCATTCATTAACGTTGGCTATAACCAATGGGCACCCTCACTCTCCTAACGAAAAGTGTGAACAACGAATCCGCGTTCTTCGTTCAGAAAGCACGCCCACACCGAGATTTCCTCTCGTGGCGGCACACGAGAACGCAAATGTCACCACTCGACACCAACTAGTGTCGGACGACGGCAGCGCAATGGTTAGCGCCTTAGAGTACAATCGTTCGGATCCCGGGTTCAAATTCCGGCGCCTTGTACTTTTCCGAAGTCCGATTTTTCTTCTACGACATCTAAATAAGAAGAAAATACAGCAGTATACACCCCGGCAAGCGACATCTACAGCCAACAGTTGCCAATGGTCTCGGATATATGAAAGAAGATGGAGAAAAAGAAAAAAAAAAGTGTGTTTCGTCCAGAGCTTGCTAGTGGACTCATCAGTAAGGTTACCCAGCAGGCTCATGCCTTAGACACAATGGTAGAAGGGAAGAAGGTTTATATACATGGCAGGAACATTGAAAATGGATTCCTCCCTCCCACACCATCGCCAGCGGCGGGACACTGTATCCAAGGCCGGTCGAATCTCCTACCACCCTCTCTTGCGACGTTTCCCAGTGGAGCAGCCTCCCACTCCGGATCAGGAGGGGATATTTAATATTGACGTAGGTGTAAAGATATACAACATTTCTTAACCTAAATCGGCTAGTAAGGTTCCCGGACACCCAGTGTGTGGCCATACACAGACGACGGTGAAGCGGCGAGTACCTTTCTAGTATCTTACCCTATACCCTGTAAACCATTAAAGCTTCTACCATTATTGCGGACTTTCTGCTTTCCCTTACAAGGATGTTCAGAAAGGATTTTTATCAGTTGCATTTTGCTTGATTGTTGCATTGTTTTTGATCGTAGCTCTTGCGCCAAAGGCCGTCCATGGGTAAGTCCTCCGTCGCGAAGCTCCTCCTTCTTTGTCAGTTCATCTTGCCCATATGACTCAAGCATAGGGGGGATGGATGAAGTAGGGTGGACAAATAAAGGAAATGGAGAAGAGAGAAGTAGTGTTTCGTCCGAGATCTGCTAGTTGGGACTCTTCAGTAAGGCTTACCTAGCAGACCTTTACCTTAGACACTGGGATAGAAAAACTTGTGTTAGAAGTTATATTTATTGAAACAAACAGTGTCAATGTGACCACTAGTGAGAAAGCATTAACATCGCTAGTCCTGTGTTGATATCGATGGCCCTCTTGTGACAAGCGTAAGACGTATTCTACAAACGTGTAATTTAAA